TGATGTGAACATGCTGGTGCCATGTGCATTTTTACAATGCAAGATGGTCTTATTCACCCTCCATCCTGTTCCTAAAGGAGCTCTTAAGGATATTCTAGTGAAGGTCCCATTTACCTTCCATATCTTCAGGGGTTACACCTCCTCCTTTGCTCTGAGGTTATTTGTGGCGAAACAAAAGACTCCTGCTTCCCTCCGAGTTCCCTCAATAAACTCCTTCAAGTGGGATCCTGGAGGAGATTTTGCAGCCATACTGACTCTCTGGGGTACAGCAGGATCCTGAAAAATTCTTGCAGGTGCTTCTGTGGGATCCAACATCTAGGTTTCTAGTTTAATAAATTACTGCCCGACACGTGAGACATAATAATTAATCATTTTACTCTTCCAAGGATATTACAAATAAGGAGTAAATCACAGTATCAAGAAAAGAGGTTTAAACTAATATATTTTACTTCATATTTGCTGTGGAAGTTTCCTACCACAGAACTGCTAAAGGCAGTAACTCACTAAATCACAGGCTCAGTCATGCATTTAAATCTGAAGTGTGGTGAGATTTGATTTTCTCAGTCCATATGAGGATGTTAAACAATACCCACTGAAAAACCTCTCATCTGCAACCTGGAGCGGGTCCTGTACAGCATCTTCCTTCTCATGTATGGAAGGGATCCCTCCCATCTAACACACGATTTGAGGCACATCTGAGGTACAACTTATGGTTTCACAGATTCATAGAATTATTAGGGTTGGAAAAGACCTCTAAGATCATTGAGTTCAACCATTAACATAGCACCACCATGTTACCAATAAACTATGTCCCCAAGGGTCACATCCACACATTTTTTGAACACTTCAGGGGATGGTGATTCCCCCACTTCCCTGGATAGCCTGTCCAATGTCTGACAACACTTTCACTGAAGAAATTTTTCTAATATCCAATCTAAACTTCCTCTGTTGGAACTTGAGGCCATTTTCTCTCACTCTGTCACTTGTTACCTGAGAGAAGAGGCCAACCCCCACCTGGCTATACCCTCCTTTCAGGTAGCTGTAGAGAGTGATGAGGTTCTCACTGAGTCTTCTTTTCTCCAGACTAAACACCCCTTGCTCCTTCAGCCTCTTCCCACAGGACTTGTGCTCCAGCCCCTTCACTAGCTTTACTGCCTTTCTCTGGACATACTCCAGCCCCTTGTAGTGAGGGACCCAAAACTGAACACAGTATTCAAGGTGCAGCCTCACCAACACTTGGTGCAGTGACCTCCCTGGTCCTGCTGGCTACACAGTTTCTGATACAAACCAGGATGCCTTTGGCCTTCTTGGCCACCTGGGCACATTATTAGGAGTCCTGCCCCTGTAAGGAAACAGACACCCCAAAGGAAATGGTGAGGAGATCAGGGGGCCCTAGGCTTGCACTCTTCTCTGTCTTGGTAAACAGCAAAGCTAGAGCAGTCGTGATCAGACCTTGCCCTGCAAACATGTAAACAGCCTGTCTAGCAGTCATTTGGAAATGACCTGGTCGGCTTAAGCAAGTCTGTTTCTAATGTCAGAAGGAGACCAACCACACACTCACTCATGCTACACCTCAAGGTATGTGACAATGAGCCACATCTGCCAGATAAAACATTGGTGTCTGCTCTGAATCAGACACTCTCCTTTACATCAGTGCCAACAGGCGATTGCTCATTTCATCTGCTTCTGATTTCACCATCACTGATAACAACACATCTCAGAAAATTAGGTGTGATTTAGACAGTCAGCCAGTCCTGGAAACTCACTTTTTCAATCGTTTCAGCTACAGAGCCTTTTGGAACAGCTCAAGCTGTAATTAAGTGTTCAATGCTTTTGCATTTTTTATGATATGTTGATGCTGTTTTTTCGTGTCCTCATTAATTTGCCAGTGAAACATAGCACATAAAATTCATGTGTTGTGCTGGGGACAAACTGTTTAGAAGACAGGGTCAGGAAGCTATAGATTAAAATGTTTCCCAGTCAAAAAACCCTAAGAATTTAATGTAGCATGATTCTATAATCTGTTGTCCTCAGAGGTATTGCTAACAAAACAGATGTTTTCATTTGTGCCAAAGCCAGTTAAAGGAGAATTGTTTGTTAGTGTAGAGTCTTGTGATTAAGGGAAATTTGCATATTTGAAAAGGAAAGTTGACTCCCTGTAAGTTCAGATTGTTGGAGTGGACCTTCAACAACAGAATAGCAAGTTGGTCATTTCTTCTGGTACACAACCATCTGTTGGTACAGGTGTTTTTTAAAAAAAAAGGTTTTATGTATTTCAACCTTTATCTACTCTTCTTTAGAATGGCACAGCTTCAATCTAAGGATGCTTCAAGGCACTTAATGAAAGCTGCCTCATTTGCAATGCTCATGGAGGGATGGAACAAGCATAGCAATAGCAGTCAAACTCACCCAGGCCTGCCCTGCCCGGTGTTTATAGCTGTTCATGGTTGTGAGTCTCATCCAAAGGCTCATCTTTTCTTTTTTATCACAGTACAAAATCTAATTTTCGTTTCAAAAAGAGCTGAACAATACAGTGATGTTTTTGATGAAGAAATTTTACTTGTAATAATAATTTTAAAAATTGTGATTTTTTCCCCAACATAGTATATGTAATGTGGCTCTGCATTCAATCAGCTGCCATTGATTCTCCTTGGATATTTCCCAGCAAACCCATGCCAGGCCCCAAAATGGCTGAGGGCTGGAGTCAATACTCTTCCACTTGTTTGACAAAGAGCAGACATAAGTCATTGGATGAATCTTCCAAAACAGTTAGCCTAACTGAGGAAACAAAACAACCCATTCCTCATCCCCAGAGTCAAGTGCTTTTCCCAAGAGGGTTTTAATTTGAGCTTTAAAAATTTAACAAGAGATTTTTGATTTTAGTTTTTCCAGGACAAGGATATTTGCTCCAACAAAAATAGATAAGGAACTAGAACTCTGTTAACCTCCTTAAGAAGTCAACAATCCCATGAAAATTTATGGCTAACTCAGCTCTTGATTAATGGCAAGTGAAGCTTATGGCTCCACAACTAAGAGCTCTGTGCAAAAGCAGGAAACACCTTGCCAGCTCTGTTGTACACACTAGAAAAAGGGCTATTTCCCCAGATGAGGCTGCAGCACATTTGCTAGTCACAGAAGTGCCTTACAGTTCAGAAGTGTCTATCTATGGTGCCCTGTGACTAACTGCATTACACACACCTTGTAGGGACCAGACAGAAGATCCACAGTCTGTCGTCTCTCTAGTAATTCACAGTGATCAAAACTGAAATGCCCATTTCCTTCTGCTTCTTTTCTTAAATGTATTTTTTTAAGTAAGAACAAAATAACAGGGGAGAGAACTGAAGTAATGGTCTTGAGTCACACACTCAGCCAGTTTACAGCAGCACAGAGCTGCTGCAAATAGAGGAGAAAATGCCAGTTTGCAAAGGCAAAAGAACCTGGTTTGCCAAGGTCACACAATTTGGGTGATGTTCCAGTAACACCAAAAAGCTAATTAATGGCTTTTGTCTCAAAGTTCTCACTCAAAGACAAGATTTGAGATGGTCATTCTGAGATTTTCCCCCATTGCCTGCAATTAGTTGACCTGTTGAGGTTTTAGTCATTCTACCTTTACAAAATATTCCAGTTTTGGTAAAGGGTCATAACACAGTGAGAAAAAAATCAGAAGAGGAAAAAAAGATAGCTTCTCTATTATTTACTTAGCCATTTTCAGTACTATGTGAGGGTTATGGTAATACACAGGACTCCATGAGTGGATAATTTTTTGGGCTTTGTCCTGGAAGTCTCTTCTTTTCTGAAAACAGGCCAGTGAACCTCTTTCTGTTTTGCACTGCTTTGTAAGGATGATCCTCAATACCAACCATCTTCCTCTGCCCCAAGTGTCCCTCCAACCCTGCAGCAGGCAAAGTTGGGGCTGTCCCACTGCCTGGGTGTGATAGGAAGGCAGGCAGGGAGCAGACAAAGGGAACAAAGAGAGCCATACAGACTCTAAGTTCAGGAGCCAGTTTCTCTCAAGCAAAACTAGAGCAGGACACCTCCGAGAGTCACCAGCAGCAGAAAGTGCCTATTTCAGCTGATTCAGAGCCTGATGCTTCTGACCCTGGCTTGCAGACAGTGTGGATGCTCTAGATAAGACAAGAAAAAATATCTCAGAGTATTGGGAGAGACTGCTGTGTTATTTTTCATAGTACAATCCAGTACCTAGCCTTGGTTTAAAGAAAAATTGGCTCCTTTCTACTTGTGAGCTCTCTCCCCAATGTCCTCACCCTTTTTTCCATGCTTTTGGTCTTTTTCCCCCCTGGGTAAAAAAAGACATTATTTCTTTGCACTAAACATTAATGATTCATGTCTGTAAAGGCTGAACTGGAACATTTCCTAGATTATACACCTGCCTCCTCTAGAAGGACTAAATGTACCAGCAGTGGGTGGACTTACTCAGGCTTCTATTAAGCAACATCTGTGGGTGGTTTTCTAGTCCAGCTGTTAACATGTGACTTATTCTGCAGTTAGATCAGCTATGTCAATGGAAAGAGTAGGCTTCAAGCGTGCTACTGAAGGGAAGGATTATAATAATTACTGTCACCATTTAAATATCTTGTAAATGGCAGTGGATACACTCAGAGTCCCACACGTCAGCTGAATAAATAAAAGCTTGCTACTCACAGGATGACAGGTCAAATGCAGCAAAGTGTTTTAAGGCAGTCATTCATGGACAGGAAATGTCCACTGAGATATCAACCACAATCACAGCAACCACCTCCTGGCTCTTTTATTGTCAGGATTGCCACCTCTCTAAAGGAGCAGGAGCTGCAACTTGTGTACATCATATGAAGAACTAGGAAAGTCAAGTTGTAGAGCTGGCAGGTGGGCTCTCCCATAGGTTACAAAACCTCTTTCCATTTTACCATATAAAGAGAATATACAAATTAAAAGAAGAGTCCAGGGTTAATTTGTCACTGAAAAAAACCAGGCTGAGGCTATACAAGGCAGTACTCACCTCCCTGAAAAAAGATAACATGTAGGCAGCCCAGCTCAGAGCTGTTGGTTTCACTCCCATTGCTGACTCAAGCACCCTGAGAGAGAAGGGAGAGGCAGATGGGCATGGTAACCTCTTACACCTCTGCACTTGGAGTGCATGAAGGACAGCTGACAGCTGAAAGTGCCATCATAGCAAGTCAAGCAAAACATACACTCCTCTCTAAAGGGAAATGAGAAATAACTGGTCAAGTGTGGTCAGTAACTAATTCAGGCTGAAGTTTAGGAAGATTTGCAGTTATCAGGCAAAAAAAAAATCAATGACAGCAAACTCACTACACAGACTTAAAATTTGACATTTTAATAAATAGATGTTAGTTCTAATTTATCAATGAATTTAATTATAGCAGTATAGATTATGAAATTAATTATCAATCAATTAATCTTTAATTAACTTGCTTTTAATTAATTCCTCTTAATTAATTGACTTTTACTATGTTTGCATATCTCAGTGGGGGGATCACTTCTTATCTCCATCCTCCAATCTCATTTTTCCTGTCCCGCTTTTCATTGACTTGACATTAAACTTGACTTCTTCTCTTCCTGTTTACCAGCTCCTCTTCCACTGTACAGAGTAGCCAAGGGCATCATCCCACAAGCAGTGGGAGAGTCCTCCTGCAACCACAGGGACATGACATGTGCAACAGAGGCAGGGAGCTGATGCATCAGCTCATGCAGAAGGGTGACGAGCTTTACATGTTATCTAGAAACACAGAGCAGGGACAAGGTGGTTGTCAGTAGCTGGGATTGTCTCTGAGGATGGCACCTCTATCCCCACCACTCTGGTCCCCTCCCAACTCCAGCTGCATGGGAGCATGATCACCTTCCCTGCTGGAGCATCAAAAACCTCCCTTGAGAAGGCCCAGGACAGGACCACAAAGGGCTCACACCAAGTATCCCTGAGCACCCTCACTGGGGCTCTTTGGTGGGTGTGATGGACAAGAAGGGAGGCAAATGGGGAGGCAGTGCTGTAAGGATCTCCTTTTCCCTGCAAGCTGGGGAGGCGCTGGGCGGTGATGACGCACCAGTTGGGATCAGTGTACTGCTAGTCAGGGTAAACTTGAGAGCAGAAGCGGAAATGCTGTTCAGAAGCATACTCGGAAATGCTAATTTTCCCTCTCAGATCCTTTACACATGGAGCATATGAGGCCAAGAGTCCCACAGCCCAAGCAGCCAAAAAGTAAAAAAGCTCTTCTTACCTCTTTGCTCTCTTCTGGCTTCTCTAGCTGAAGGTCATGTGGTTCCCATGATGCTCAGGGTTGATGCCATGTTAACTGCTCTCCTACTGCTTTGCTCATCTGCTCATCAGCCAAAGTGCTTAACTGCTGCTCAGGAGGCAGGTTCAGGTTTGGGAACAGTTCTTTGTTATGCTCACTTTTTTTTACTCTTTCAAAACAAAGCACTGCACTTCTCCACGAAATTTGTGCTCTGACTAGTTCTTTCCTTCACTTCCCAGACTTCTGGCTGGTATTTGAGGGCTCACAGAGGGCAACAGACACTAGAAATTTGATGACAGTAGTAAAGCTGTTTCTGCATTTCTGATGTTTTATTAAGAGTCATCTCAGCAAACGTAATGATAACAATACTGTGAACACAAGTACGCTCTCAAGAACCTTTCTTTAATTATTTCTGTTGTCAAGAATACCATTTTAATCCTTTCTACCCTTACAGAGATGCCAGACTTGCAAGTCCTTTAAAAAAAAAAAGTAACACCACAGTTTAAACATCTTCTTAAATGAAGGGTGATACGTATAAACAACCCATTTAGTGAAAAGATTAGCATAAAAAGTTGACAAGCTAGAAAAAGCAACTGAGTACATTATTAATAATATACTCTTGTATAACTCATACAATCATTGAAGTTCCAAAGTCTCCAGAGGATTAGTCAGCATCACCCTGTTTTGAACAAATTGTGCTATTCCATTGCAAGCACTCCCCTGCTGCATTGATTCGAGTTTGATTTGTATTGAAAAGTTCCTGATGGAAACTAAACATGTAATAGCACAGTCTTGCTATAGTCATTTTTCTGATAAGAAGCACTCCTTCCAGAAGCAGTAAAGAAAACTAAGTACTGCAGCAAATGAACCATGCAAAATTATTTTTCCACCACTAGTGATGACAGGAAGTATTTAAAACAGCTTTAAATGGTTTATTGTATGGGTATAATAGCATATGGGGCAATTACTCCAGTCTGAGAGCTCCATTGTGGCTGTATTATTTATTATTATTTAAAGATTTGGGGAGCATCTCTTTCTACAGTGGAAAGAGATAAGTAGGTGCTTATTTGCTCGTTAAAGTTAATAAAATACATGCACTTAAAAACAACTACCCACAGTGCTTGCAATTATAAACACTGTCATTTTATCAGATTGAATAGTAAAAACAAATCAAGCCAATAATCAGACAAAAGCTAAACCTCAGCATCCTATCTACAGCTTAAAATCTTGATAGGCTCAGACGATGCCAGAGAATCTCAGAACACAGAAATTCTGTTTACTGGCAGCTGTACTCAGCATTACATGGCAGCTGGGACGGTGACCCTGGAGCTGAACAAACTGGAACTGCATTATGTCCTAAGTAACAAGCACAGGTCCAGTGTAAGAGGCTTTTTTCTTATACTATAACTTGGCAGGGACACCCATCAGGTTTAATGTAGTTTTGTGCAAGAAACTAGGAATCCTCCCATCTGAAGCCCCTTGCAGGATACAGACTTTGCTTTACATAAATGGATCAACCCATAGAAGACCTTTAACTTCTGCTGTCTACAACCCTAAAGGCCTTGGCAGGGATGTTGGGGCCCTTCTGAGAATCTCAGCCTATTTACTCACTCACCAAAAACGTACATTTAACAGAAAAAGGATGCTAGATCAAGCATAGAAGCCCTCAGGCACTTCTATGAGGCAGGTAAAGGCTCCTTTGAGAACATTTTAAAGAATAAGCTAAATTCAAAGTTTTTCTCTGTGGAAAACCAACTGAGCAGCTCCAGAACCAACCCAGAAGGCCATACAGCAGACAGGTGACAAATTTGGCCTCAGGCCAACCACTCTTGCATGACAGGGTGTGCAAAGATGTTATCTCCTCCTCTCATTTTGAACCAGTTCCACTGAGAAGGAAAGCTCTTAAAAATTCATTAAGCCATAAAGTGAGCAGAACAGACAGGCTAGGGATCAGGAAACTCACCTGGGAGTGAAAAATCCTGGGTAGCACACAGTGCTTTAAGGTCCTTGGCAGGAAAAGTGTTTAACAGAAGTCCTTAGACAACTACATCCAAGGCTACCCAGGGTCTTCAGGTCTGTGAAAGATTTATTAATGTAAAAGCTGTCAAAACTTGATGATGAAAATGAACAGTAACTAAATAATTCAACACATATATTTTCCTGCTAATTAAAGATTATAATCAAAAGTTGTAATGATCTTTGCAATCATGAGTTAAGTGCGTGGAAGGAAAAAGAACTCTCTAAGGGTTTTTATTAGAATCAGTTCTAGGGTGTTGAAATAAGGCTGAAAGAAACAGAACATAAACAAGTGTTAATTAATCAAGCAGGCTAATAACTCAGTATCTGCATTTTCATAAAATTCCAGGCAACGCTGTCATTCCTTGTGCAAAACCTCCTTCATCCATCACGTCCCCACAGTAAATTTTGTCCCATTTTATGAGTTTCCAAAACTAGGAAAGGATCTGATCATAAATCAGAGCATTCAAGGCAAGTATTTTTTTCACAACAATCTAGTTTAAAATGAAGGTGAATAAAAGATTTCACTGATTGTCTGAAGTACTGTCTAGCTACAAAAGCAAAGAACTTATCTTTTGATTTAATTAGACATACCGTCACCCTACAAAACAGCCTTGATAGGGAAGGGCAAGATTAAAGGAAGCCTGAAAAGAAAAGGTATGTCTCCCCTTATCTTTGGTAAAGTTCGGATGGGGTAATTATGTACACTGGCCATGAAGAAAACAATAGGGTAGTTAATAATCTCAGTGATTCAGCCCTTGAATTCCTCCTGAGATATAACATGGCAACAGCCCAAAGAAGTATCTGTAGGTACCAGGTGTGTGTGACGGAATCCTGCGTGCTCCACAGAAAGTGGTAGAACATTCTCTCTTCTGTGGATCTATAGGATAGCCTATCATGAAAGGCAGCACTACAATTCACTTCACTTAAGAACATGTCAAATGGATCCTGATGCATTTCAAGTGTTATGTTACTTGGTGATTTTAGGCTCTAAAAATGAGTGAAATGTATTTTATCTATCTATGCCTCTACGTTTCATGATAACTAAAGATGTCTATGTAGGAGAGAGAGATAACATCAGCTCACATTTATAGGGGCAAACCAGAAGTCCCTGAGAAATCCAAACTCTTCTACCTTTGTGGTTCCTTAATCTCCATGTCCCCACTTGTCCTACTGCCTGGCAATGCACTTGGCTCCTTATATGTGTAGATACTGACCTCTGAAGGGCAAAGAACTCCGCACATGAGAGAGTTCTCCAAAACTCTTGTACCTATATGTGAGAGGGAATTATATGTGTCCAGAGCAGTTACCCAACCTGTCCTTGGAGCATAACTCCAAACAGTGGTTTCAGACACCTGTGCTTGCTAACATCTTCTTGCATTTCATCACAAGCCCCTGTACAGTAGCCCAAGCCACCAAACTTAGCAGCAGAGTTCTGTGGGCACACCCAAACCTCTCAATTAAGCTCATCTTAAGAAACTCATTTCTGTTATTCAATTACCTTTTGAAAATCTAAGTTTGTCTTCATGTCGCTGATTCCATTTGCAACGCCATTTTCTGATGAATTTGAAAGTCACTTCTTACTCTACATAAGTATTTTGATCAACTCTGGGGTAATACCACTTACTCAGAATTGGCTGGATTATGGCTTTTTTTCTAAACAAAGGTCCAAGGTGGCAACACCAAGACCTTGAAAAATCAGAAGGGAAGAGTCACGCAGAGAGAAACAAAAAAACTAAACTAGGTGGCTTGTTTTGTGCCATTACTACTCTTTGGTAGTGTTCTCTATACTAATTTTTTCCTACTGTTCACAAGTAGAGATGTTTTGAAAAGTACTTAAGGTCAGTTTGTATGTGATTAAAAGATTATGAAGAATTTGTATACAATTTGATCTTTTTCTTTTCTGTTTATGTAAAATCTAAATTTTAAATTCATCTTGTCAGAGAAAACATGGGAAAAATTAACAAATATCTTCTCTGGCTTTTTGGTAGGTTGGTGTTTGATTAAGAAAAGAAATATTGCTTTACACAAAGGAAATGATGATTTACTCTTTTGCAAAAGTATTTCCTTCTAAGTCATTTAAGATGAATTGCAATTCAAATGCTAAATAAGGTGGAAAAAGAAAGACTTAAAATGAGCAGAATGAAAATAATGTTGAACTACAGGAAGATTTTTTGTTTATGTTTTAAGCTTACTCATCAATTAGTATTTTAGACCAAGAATATATCAAACAGGAGGTTTTGCTCATTAAAAATCAGCAAAGTAGCATCCATTATGTCAAAGTAAGATATTTTCCAAGTGTTTGAATATCTTAATCCCTAAAAGTTAAAAATGGACCTGATCTGAATGCAATAGAGACTGTCTTTCTTATTTCAAGAAGTCGGTGTATTCATTTCTATCCATGCAACATGAATACAAATCACTGCTGATATAAGAAAACAGATTTTCAAAATGTTTTAGAAGAAAAACTGGCCTGAAAGGAATCTCAAGATGTCATCTGCTCCTTCCTTCTACTGTGAGACAAGATTAACTCTACCTGAATTATGCCCTGCTGATGTTTGTCCTACTTAAAAATGTTCTTAATAAAGCTTCAGAGATGGAGTCAGTCAGTAGTAATGGCAAAAGGATTGGAAAGTTTACCAATTTTCATTATGGCTTAATTGTTTGGAAACATTATTAATTTTATTGCCTATAATCTTGATGGAAAGATGCACATGGGGAATTTCTAGAGGATATTAATTGTGTTTTCATCGCACTGTTGCACTGATTTGCAGAGGTGAAACAGTTTCACAGTTACAATGATGAAAACCTGATTTATTTCCTGATTAGTCCTGATGCCTCCCTGTGATGTTAAAGGCACAGTGTGGCGGTTGACAGGCCATTCCTTCCCAAGACACAATCACTCCTGCATCAATCTTAAGTCAAGGGAACAAGCAAGGACCACGATCACCCACAAAGTTCCGAGTCATAGGAGCTACAACAGGAACATCCCACAAATCCTATAAAAGAGACTAAATAACACCAATTTCTCCCTACAAAGCCTGTGTTGTCCTTGTATCCCTTGTAAACGCTGGCAGCCCTATTCACATTGTTTGGGGTACAGAACCAATGCCACAACAAAAAAGCTTTTTAAGATGTTTTGTAAGCAAGGAAACAATGCTTCACCCTTCACCCATTCCATAGGATAAGGCAGCATTTTGTTCCACATGGTTCACTTTGGGCATCCAAGGTGTGAAATTTCCAGTGTCAGATTATTTTATGTTAGCTAAGGATCAGTATTTGCAGGTTAAAAGAGATTTACTGTGACCTAGTAAAAATAGATGGTTTGAGAAAAAAAATTCACATGGAGGCTGATTGAACTGATGTAGCTGGTAGACAGATTTTTTGACAAAGGCCTAGGGTGATACTTGCTTCTTGTAATGTATTATGGCTCCCTTAGTCTTTCATGTCCAAGGAACAAGAAGGCACACGGTAAGGACAGAAATAATTGTTTTCTGTCACGATGCAATGCCAAGTGACTATTCTAGTTAGCACATCCTATAGGATGTTAAAACAGGCAGAGTGTAGCACTGGTTCCACTGCAATGTAAAATTAGCTGTAAGGGTCAGAACTGAATGGAGCAAGTACCACACACCTAAACTCAGACTAGAGATGTCTTGTTCAGGGACAAGTGTTAGGTAAGAAAGAATGTGCTCAAACCCACTACAGAGATGTTGTTACATAATCCCCATGGTCTTTAACGACACTGCAGTGATGTGTGGGTGGGAGCACTGATGTGTGCACAGATGTTGTTATGCTGTTATTCATCTTCAGATTGGTAAATTTATTTAAAGTGGGTTTTTTGTATTTTTAATTATTGGGTAGGCTTTTTTCCTGAGAAATTGCTTTTAGGAAATTACAAATTACAATAGTTGACTTGACTGAATAGTAAATGCTTTCATACTTCAGAGAAGCAATTTGCTGCCTGCTCTGCTACTACCTTTGGAGCACTGTCCATTACATGTCTGGGACTTACTCTCTTCCTGACATCAGTAATATTTTTTTACTTTCTCAAAAGGAAGGTGTTAATCAAATTCCATTGCCAAAGGCTTTCCCTGGATGACCCCTTTTCACCCTCACTGCATCCTCGCAACATCCCATGGCTCTTTAACTTAGGGGAATCCATCCCCTTTAGAGAAGACCTCTCTTCTCTGAGGGAGTCTTTTTTGCCACTGTTCTACCAGAGGAAAGTTCAGGGCAGGTCTTTGAGGATGACATAGGAGGCAAGGTAAGCAAGGCTAGGAAGACTATGGCTTGCAATCAGGGAGTAATGTTGTTGGACAGGAGTGAGTAAAGCAAAACCCTAACACTTCCTGGATTTTTCCACATTCTAATGTAAGTTTCCTCCTTCTCAAGCATAAGCAAGCTATGGTGGGACCTTCAGAAAGAAGATCTCATTCCCCCATCTGGAACTGGGCAGCTGTAGTGATGCACAGAAAGACATAGACCTGGCTTTCATGGCCTGAAAACAGTTTATCTGAAGTGCTTTTACTCTAATGAATAATGTTTTACCTAAGGTAGCTGTCCAGTCTTTAATTATCTATTTCATTACTTCCTAGGGAATTAACTGCAAGCCACATCACATTCATTGAATTTAAATTTCTTGGATCTGAGAGGCTTTTTCTCTGGACTGTTTCAGAAGTCTGGTACTTGCTATGGTAGTTATCCTGTAAGAACAAATTGGGTGTGTTACCCAGGAACCCGTCCTTCTGACTAATGCACCTCTTTTTTACTTCATCATTAGATGAATACAGCAGAATCAAATGGAGAATTCTGCTTGACACTTGCTCTGTGTAGGCAAGGTCATCACCACCAAGTCCAACCCATTGCTTGTAAATAAACATTGTCTTTTATTTTTATGAAATCCCCCATATCTTCACTCTCTCCTCAACTACAGTCTCCACTCCAAACTGCTGTTGATCCCAAATCACATCATGTGAATCGTTCCTCCTCCTGAATGGCAAGTGCTTGAGCAGTTCATGGATGTTAGGTTTGAATTCAGTGACTGCAAAAAGTAGAGAGATCAGCGTCTTACCCCTTTCTGAAGACAGAAGCTTGGAGGGCAATTGAGTCTTGAAGTGATGAAACCTGGAGTATCTAGAATGCATCAGACTTTCAATCCTTCTAGTGCTGCAGGTGCCTACATGTCACACTTTTGTTAAACACAACAACTGTGCAAGGGGACACTATGCCTCAGGAAGAAGGAACAGCTTTTAATTTCCGTAATTCTCCTTGTTTTGCACTGATTTCCTTCTTGGCTTCATGCAAGGGAGCAGCCAACAGAGTTATATTCTGATTGATGTATGGCCAGCTTCTCTTTCTTGGCTGAACAGAACAGTTCAGTGACCTCAGAGCTGAAATCAATTAAGCAGCAAACCCTACATACAGAGCATTATTGATAGAAATGCATGTTTCTTGTGAAGGCAGCTATTACTACCCACTGCTACTACTACAGGCAATGCTTAACCAGCCAAAATCCCAGTGAAGAGGTGGTTCAGAAGAGCCAATTCCTTTGCAGAAGTATAAATCTCCAGTAATCAGTGGGGACACTCACATTCACACACACATGGAAAAAAAAAAAAAAAAAAGGGAAAGAGATTTCACTGTTTACCTGCAGGAATAGTGAGGCAAAGGGCTTGTCCTCCTGGGATGTGACCACATTATGGGTCAGAGGAGGCAGCAGAAGGTATCAACTCCTCCTCCTCATGAAAGAAGGCAAAGCTAAAGCTCTCAGGAACAAGTGAAAAAATTCTTGATGATCTTATAAGAAAAGCAGCAGCAGAAGGAATAAGTAAAAGTTCTGGTGTCTTGTGAGATTCTCAAACAGCAGCCCCTGCTGCTTAGCCTCGTGCTATGTCATTAATATGGAAAGTTAGCAACATATCCTGTGGCACTCCCCTAGCAGAAGGCGGCCTCCCAGCAGTAGGCCTTGTGCAGCCAAGGATCAGCTCTGTGATTTTGGTGAGCTAACAAACTTTGCCAGCCCAGCAGGAGCCCCTTTTTGAAGGAAGGGAGAGCAGCAGGGACTCCAGGCTGCAGCAAAGCTACCTTCAGAAAGCACATGCCATCAGCTGCTGGCATGCCATGTCTGTCAGTGGGCTGGGATACAAACAATGGGGTTTTCTGTATCTCACAGCCAGTGAAATCAGTGGGTTTTGGAGTAGGTCTGAATCTCCTTTCATGAAGCACACATTGAAGCACTTTGATTGATTGAGGCACTTTAATTAAATTTGTTGTGGTATCCTGCTCACAAGAAAAATTGGAGCCTTAAATCCAGCCTGTCTCTGGCCTCGTGCAGTTCTTGCAGACTTCAGAACTGCATTTCTGATTGCTGGTGAAAAACACAACACAGTTACCATTCAGTGGTAAATCATTACAAGAGGCTGACATGACCCTGGTTCACTGGGTCTGAAATAAGGCATTAAACATTTCTCACTGCTCATTTGAATTAAAAAAAGAAAGTGAGAATGTAGAGGCTAAAGTTAAAAATAGCTGAAATCATTCTTAGGTATATAGATCCAGACCCACAGTTATTTAGGCACTTAACTCCTAGAAATCTCTGTGGCATAATGTCTGTAGAGTCCTGTTATCATGTCTGACATGAATTCTTACAGCTTTCCGTGTGCAAACTGAAAGCCTTGCTAGGGAAATGAAAGGTGCCACTGTGGAGGAAAATGATAGCAAAGACAAGACATGGCCCTGAGGCACTTGCCCCTCCAAATGATTGCTCATTTGGAGTACTATATTGACAGAGATCCCTTATTCCCCACGTGGAAACCTCGGGTCAGACCTTATTTTAGAAGGTGAATTAGAGCTTGTTTTAAAGGTGAGTTCTGACATGTCTTTATCTTTTGAAGCCTGAAAAAACACAGGTTTGCAAACACTGTGCTTTCTTAAGCAGAGGCAGCTCTCAAAAACTCAAGGTCCATTTCCCAAGAGCATGATGTGGTTGGTCTCCCTGAATGCAAGTTAAAACAGAAATCTAAACCAGAACTGAGAGAAGAAATTGCATTAGTGGAATTACAAGTATTCAGAGACCGTTTTCTGGTTCTCAAGATACATGAGAGGACAGAATAGAAAACAGAAAGAATAAAAATTCCTGCATGCACAATGCCACTGACAGGAAGGTGTTCAGCCTCTGGGTCGTATGCTACATTGATCCCTGAATAACACAAAGGTGGAAGATGCAGAGAGTGTACAAGGCAGCAGAGGAAAACAGTGGCATGAATTTCCTTCTCCCAGATATTTAATTGCACACTAGCAAGGACCAACACAGTGCAACTCCAAAGACTTATCTACAGAGGGCATCTATCTCCTTAATATCACACCCTTGGAGATGGAAATGATTTGATTCTTTTTTCATTTAAATTCCTTTCATAGGAAATGTTGCCAACTCCCATAGATATAGTGATTACTGAGAAACTAAATTTGTCGGTTTTAGCCTCTCAAATGTCAGCGAGAGAGTCAAGGAAAAGGCTGGTTTGTTTAGAGACGTTTTTAGCATGATGATGGAGAATAGCCAGCATAAGAAAGTTCATCTTTCCTACCCATTTGCATGTCCCATTATGAAAATTGAAACAAAAAAGATTTATCTGCAGAAGGTAAGGTTTTGTCAAATGGCAATAGTATCTGGGTCATTAAGATGCCCTCAGTGACTGCTGGTGACAGCAAAAATTTGTGAGGAATGCATGTGCCTTAAGCATATCCAACAGAGAGAGATGAGCCCATCAGTTTAGTAATTGTGCTTAACAGGCTACTGGAGCACGAACTGCCCTTTGCAGTGTCACCATGATGAATCCACTGCATAACATCCACTGGGTTAAGGGCAGTCACATGATGGTAGAGAGGAGTTGTCTCCCTTGTGGCCAAGATATCTGAACACTGGAAATCCCAGCACAGCTTGGATCATCAGCTCTCAATGGCTGGCATAAGGGAAGGCCATTCTAGCCCTTGGAGACTGGCTGAATGTAGCCCTGTAACCCAAGGAAGCATTTGTTCACTCTTTTTGTAATCTGAGCACACACATATGAATGCAAACATACTCTGCTTTCTAGGTCCTCTTCATCTGCATGCTGGGCTCCAGTTTACATAATTTAACTGAATAAATATTTCATCACCCATTCTTCTTAGAGATGGGATGACCTGTCCTAGCTCCCAGGGAAGGCAGTGAAAGATGACACTAATCTGAGTCATGTTATTCTCAAGAAGTTGGGGTAGTAGAGGGCACTAACAGATGGATCAAGAACCTCATTAAGTCCTTCAGAAATTTACTCCCTCCAAGAAAACACCCTCAGAAGTTGCTTTTTAAGTCACTTAAAGGAAGAAGCTGCAAAACAAAAGCAAGACTGAATGTGCTGTATTATTCTGAAGGAATACTGGTTAGTTTTAGTTCATTAGTGCCTTTTATTTTGAAGGACTGCTAATTTCTTTGCAAGTTGAAATACAGTCTGCGCACCAGGATCCTTTCACCTGCCAACCAAATGCAGAAGTTTAAGTGCATTCATGTACTACAAATGAGGCTTCAGGACTTAAAGCAGGGAAAACTATTATCCACAATGAAAAACCAAGAAATACAGGTTATACTGTCATGCTCAATTTCAGCCATAGGAACTGAGCTGATCTATCAGAGAAAAAAATCCTGACTTTCAAGGAGAATAATTTGCTAATAAATGATTGACAAGTGTTTACATTCATTAATTGACATGAACTAGTGAATCACTTATGCTCCAAGGAAGAGTGGCAGTGCAGGTATGTCTCCTGGAAGCTGTTATCCACTGGCTTCTGCTAAGCCTAAATAGACTCCTCTACCAAACCAATGTCCTGAATCACAATGGCACAGAAAGTTTCCTCCCTAATCTTTTTTTTTTATCATTCCCAAGGGTTATCACTTAATTTCTCACAAGACTCAAGACAAATATCATAATTTCTCTTCTTGATCTTGTCTTTTATTGGGAGCAAGAACTCAGGAAGACCCAGGAAGATCTTGTGGTTCAATGATCATCATGTAGTATATAACTTCTGGTATCTACTAGGCATGTATCTATTTCAGCTCCCTCTGGCAGGGCACATGAATTCCAAGCTAAAGTCCATGGACACAATCCCCAGTGTTGATGGCTCTTACAGCAAGCCAAAGGCACCCAGCTGTGATACATTACTGTTCTATGTCCAGAAACTATTAAGAAACTGTAGGATCTACCAGACAAAAGAGATGTTGCTTGCTGAACCATAACAACTCAGGCTGTTTAACTTCCATCCTGAATCCTTCTTGGAGACCTGCCAGCATCTCTTGATATCACAGTTACTTAAAATGTTTGCTTAGAGGAAAAGATACTGGGGTATGATACACATAGTCCTTGCTTACAAAACAAACTATGTATGTTTTGTAAGCAAGAAGGGTTTCCTCATGATGTTTGAATGATTATACTAAAAGAAGAAGCAGATGAAACAGATAACATTATATAACATATATATATATATTTTAGATGCTAAGACCTCCTGAATCCATCCTGTCTCATATGCTGAAGTCACTGTGATGAGATTGAAGGGTTTTCTTTTGCAACATCCTGATCCAAGCAATGAGGAAGCTGAAGGTTGTTGTAGCAATTACCATCCTTCAGAGGTAGTAGGTTTCTAGTTGCATGGCAGCTTGCAGAATCCTTCCATCAGAATGCCCAAAAAGCAGAGATTTTCATGCAGTGCTTTCACATTCTAACTGCATTGTCCCTATGAGGTTAACCACTGGCTCCTGAATTTGCTGGTTTTGGGGAACTTGGAGCAATTCCACTTAAAACAGGAGTCTGATGTTGTCCTTGCTCTACCCTCCTGCCATCTTTCCGGATTCTGGGATAATTTGGTTGTCTTGATGCTGATAGTCAGTTTTGGATGTAACACATTACTCATTTCTGTAAATAAGGATTTTCACATATCTGAAAAGAGTTAGCTATTCAAAATCCTTATCAGGCATTCTTGCTTGCTTGAACTGTATCTTGGATCCTTAGTTATATATCTTGCATATATATACATTGATACCTTTGCAGTCTTGGTCCAGTGATGATCTTCCCAGGTACTTCTGGTTGAGCCTGCTGTGAAATAGAGCACACAACGTGGCAGAAGGAGTGCTCTCTTCTGGAGAAAGGGAACAGTACAGAAAAATAGAGAAGATAACAGATGCCTTAGTAAAAGTGACTGTTAAACTTGCAAAATCTTTTCACTCTTGGCCACTTACACAGGACTGACACCTGGGGGTTCTTCCATAGAACATGAAGCCAATTTTGCAACAGACTTTTGTCACAGCACCGATATAAATAAAGCCAAGCTTATTTCCTTGGTCACTGTCAGCCTAGTTCCAGCATAAAGACTGAAAGATCTCTTCACAGGGACCAAAGGATTTTTTTGTTTGTTTGTGGGTTTTGTGGGACTTTTTAGTCTTTTGATTCTTTGTTTGTTGTTGTTGGTTTGTTGGTTGGTTTCTTTTTTTTTTCCTTTTTAAATGAAAATGTATCAGAAAAAAGAAAAGTTATGGAAAGATATAAAAACTGGGCTTGATGGATGTTCTGCTTTCTTCTGTGCATGATAAACAGGCACATTTTCTGGGTAGTGCTTTGCTGAGTGAGAACCAACTAAAAATCTTTGCACTATTGGATCATGTGCCTAGTTAAGTGGTTCACACAGAACCTACTGAGCTGTACAGGCTCATCTTGCCTTGCTGAGTTTGGGAT